TAGAAGCTTCTGGACTTTTGCAATAGATACAGGAACAAATTCCACAAAACTAGTTGCCGTTCGTGGCCCTTGGGGTAGGTGAAGATGAACTGGGCGGCTGGGATCTTCCACGATCTTGGCGAAAGCACTTCGAATTGGCTCAGCTGAGCACTGAAGCGGCGCCGATTTTCTTTGTTTCCCAGTCAAGTGGTTGAAAATTCGCCAGGTTTGTTTTACCTCACAAGTCGCAAGCTGAAATTTTGTACTGTAGTACGCTTCTTTCAGCTTCCTGTTACAGGTAGTGGCCTCCCTTCTTGCCGCTTTGAATGTGGCGTACCTTTGCTCAGATTTGTCTGACAGACACTTTCTATGAAGCCGGTTGCGCTTACTCAAAAGGTGCAAGAGCTGGCTGTCCATCCACGGTACCGATTGTCCCTTGTGCTGCTTACAAGATCTAAGAGGGGCATGAGTGTCAAGCACCTGCAGGAAGCGATTATTCCACTCCGTCCACATGTCTGTTGGGCTGCCTTCGATGCTGCAAAAAATCTCCTGAATCAAGTCAGCTTTGAAGCTTTCATGATTTATCCTTCGATAGTTCGGGCACAACATTGATGTCTCGGGACTCCTTGTCGGGTCAAGGTAGAATTCACTTATGACCGCTGCATGGTCGCTGAAAGCCACGGGATGGATCGTTGCCACATTGTGCTGGTCAAACGTATTGAAGAACAGATCCAATGTGGTGGCTGTGGAATTAGATGCAAACCGTGTCCGCTGATGAACGCCCTGGTGGAGACTGTAGCTTGCCGTTTGATCAGACAGGAAAAGGAGCTGATGATCTGGAGCCGTTGATGGATCCACATTCACATTTAAGTCACCGCACAGTATAACGTTCCTGCCCGGAGTGAGAGCTGAGTGTAGAAGACCATCAAGGCGATCCCAGTAGCCAATAGGTTCAGAGGGAGGACGATAGATTGTGCCTATCAAGCAACTCACACCAGTGCAGGGAATCTCGCCCCAACAACTCTCAACCCCAGCAGCAGCTATATCGCATCTCGGCTGGAGAGGCAAGAATGTTCGGGAATATAAGCAGACACCTCCACCAACTTGATCCTCTCGATCAGCACGCAAAACATTGTAACCTGCCAACGTGATTTCTCCATCAGTAATTGTACTATCCAGCCATGTCTCGTTCACACAGACAACATCAGGACAATGCTGGCGGGTGAGTTGTGCTAGGTCATTAATCTAGTTTCGAAGGCTCCTGATGTTTATCAGTAGAACTTTCAGCTTAGCGTCACCACTCAGTCCTCCCCTGTCTCTGAAAGGTGCTTTCGGATGGCGCAATCTACCCGGAACGAAAGTTGGAGCCTGCGCATTCAGTATCGAGGTATTCATTGCGCCTCTGCTTGGTCGGACCTGAAGCGCCAGTCACGGAGAGTGTATGCAACTGTTTCAGGCCGGAAAGACTTTTCACTAACTTTGTTCACGTCCTGAGCGTCAACTGTTATTCTCCCGGAGGCCGTTCTGAAGTATTCAGAAGAGTATATAATACATTGCACTATCTCCAGGTCCCGATCTCTGCACCATTCAGCAATGGACTGTGCCTGGCAACCATACGGGATTTGCCCCAGGTAGAGAACTTTCCGCGGGCCTCTGGAGACGGTGTCTAACGAAGGTGTCGGGTTGCTATCGGACGTACGTTCCCGGATGTAATGTGAAGACTTGTGGCGGCGGATGGGATTTGTCTGCGCTTTGCGACTGTCAGTCTGCCGTTCCGCAGGACTTGTAGCCTCTCCGTCCCGGAAGGTTCTGATGCTAGCCGCCTCTTGAAGTGTCGACGCTCCTTCCTGGACATGACATCCTCGAATGGCGCCTGGTCAACCGATATGTCCATTAGAAGGTCAATTGGGGCAGTATCTCTAGATATGGCCTGTGAATACAACTCCTTGGGTTCATTCCTAGCAACGTCTTCAAGCACTGATCCTTCACCTCGGGATGTGGCATGTAGGTCTCTTTGTGCTCTTCCAATCTTCGAATAGCTCGCCAGGGGAGCAGTCATCTGCGGGTGGGCATGCTTGTGCTGTTTCCCGCCGCTGGCCCTCTCCAAGTCTCCTACTCTGTCCGAGAGAGATGCGAGTTCCCGCTTTACAATCGCTTCAACCTCTAGTAAGGGGATACCCTTCTCCTCTGCAGCCGTGATCTGCCGCCGCTGGTCGTCTCTCAGCGCTGCCAACTCGTCACTGATGCTAACGACAATCCGCATCATCTCACCCAAGCGTTCAAAGACTCCAGCAGCTGATGGGTGCAACACACCCACACCAGCCTCGCGAAGTTTCCCGACCACCTCCGCGCGAGCCATACTGTCCAGGCCATCAATGCTATGTATGTATGTGTATGTGAGAAAAGGAAGAGAGTGTGGGTTTATGTTTGTGTAGTGGTGTGGGCATGTGTGGATTTGGCATTTGTCCCCAGCTCTATTCTATATCATTCATGCCGGAACTACTGCTGCATAGCCCCAAGTCTGAAGACTTGGCAACTTCACGCCTGCACCTGACTCTTGCTCTATGATACGCGTCGCCTATGACACCCCTCATAATTTCCCACCTTGCTCCCCCTTATGTTCTGGCTGCCCGTTTTGGATCCATCAGTTGCCTGATTATCGTAGAAATACGTGAAACTTAGAGTTGTAGCAAAGCTTTCAAACTCTCTCTTGTGTAACATCCCTATGCTTTTTTTTGTCTAGGTCATCAAAGCAAAAAAGCATAGCGTAGGGCCCTGAGCTTCCAAGCTCTCCCGTTTGGTGTTTGTTTGTTAGTTTGTGTGTTTGTGTCGCGCCTGGCGCTATCCTGTACCTGTCCCGTACCATACCGTGCCATCAAAGACGGCTGGCCACAATGCATATTCAAATAGGGCTTTCAAATGCAAGATCATAACTTGAAGCAACTTGGAAGAATTAGTATGTATGCGAAGTGTATCGGGGGATGCATGCAGGGCGATAGAGCGGATTCGAATCCGAGGTTATGTCTTTAAAGGGCTTTCAAGTTCATAACCCCAACTCTTGATGTAGGGCGATAGTGCGGATTCGAATCCCAGGTTAAGCCTAAAAAATAAGAGAATTGAAAAATTTATAACATCCCTATGATTTTTTTGCCTAGGTCATCAAGGCGGTAGACGGTGTCGTATTACCCTCAAACGTACCTGTCCCGTACCTGTCCCGTACCGTACCGTGCCATCAAAGACGGCTGGCCACAATGCATATTCAAATAGGTCTTTCAAATGCAAGATCATAACGTGAAGCAACTTGCAAGAATTAGTATGTATGCAAAGTGTATCGGGGGGATGCATGCAGTGCGATAGTGCGGGTTCGAATCCAAGGTTATGTCTTAAAAAAAAGGAAATTTTTTTATGAATCGATAACATCCGTATGCTTTTTTTGTCTAGGTCATCAAGGCAAAAAAGCATAGCGTAGGGCCCTGAGCTTCCAAGATCTCTCGTTTCCAGAAAGCATGGAACACTTTTTGCGAGACATGTCCTGGGTTGTAGTGGAGATAGTCCACTGTCTTGCAGTGCATGGTTCAGAAAAATGGACGGTGTAAATGGTTCCCGCTATGGCCCTTGAAATTTGGCTATTTTAGCGATGCAATTTAGTGATATTTGGAGATGATGGCCATTGCTTTTCTGGATGTAGCCAAGGCTCTATGTGGTGGTGATGTGAATACTACTCAGGTTGAGTAAAGTTGGCATGGTGGTGGTTTGTTCTCAGCTCAATCCTGTACGCCGTACCAGCGCTCGTTTTTGGGACCCAACATTCAGTCGTATTTTGGGCCCATTTCGAGGTGGTCCCCAGTTTCGAGGTGTCCGTGAGTTATGCAACGAGCCCTCTTGCATGGTTGTTGTAGACCCCAAAGGAAACCTACTTGGGAAAATTTGAGCGAAATAGGAGAGATGGCCCAGCCCAGCTTTTCTGGTTTTCTCAGACATGCTCTCTTAACCCTTTCCATGCCATGGACGCGTATACGCGTTTTTTTTAGTATGAGCAGATTGGCCACGGACGCGTTTACGCGTTCTGCCTAGACTGTACAATGTACAATGTACACTGTACAGTACATGTGTATCGCGTGCTATAGACGCTGGAAAGGTAGTGAGCCCAGCTTTCCAGCGATATAAAGTTCTCCGCAATACGACAAGATATGACGGAGCGGCGACAAATTGAACGGCCAGAATGCGCAAATTTCACTTTTTGGTGATCGATTCAAATTTTTTGTTCGCGACTTCGTGCGGGCTAGGGAATTTCCCCTAGAGACAGCGTGTGCGCAGTAAGCTTCAACAAACGCGCTTGAATCTCAGCTTTCCAACGCAGTTTGAATCGTGCAAATCAGTTCACAATGAGCAAGAAGACGAAAGAAGATGAGAGGCAGTCAATTTGTTATTTTCAGGCATGGTCGGGGGACTTGGAGAGGAGATGGAAGTGGCCCTGGTATGCCTGTCGCGCTGTGAGTCCCTAAAATGGCTTCCTGTGGTCCTGTGGTCCAGATCTTTCCAACAAGCCATGGATCGTGAAAATCCATCCAGGTATAGTGAAATAGCAATAAATGTCGTTCTGAGGTGCGCGTGCAGCTTTGAACAGGTGAGCTGAACAATGCGTGGCCAACACAGGAAAACATACTGGCATGGAAAGGGTTAAAAGTAACGTCTGGCGCTAGCCAGGGTTCACATAGCTTTAATTCGGTATCTGTTGGTTGTGTCGACAGGCATGCCTGGTGCTGTCCTGCACAAGACAGTTGGCCTTCTTATTCAAATGGGTGAAGATGAGCATGAAGTTGAAAACTATCTCCGAAATAATGCTGGTCCCAACAGTGGAGATCTCTCTATCCATATGACTTGATTGCACACTCAGGAAGATTGTGGCTGAGGAACATTAATTCCATAGCTCGTTCCAGACAAAATGCATAGACAGATTCATATCCTATGTGTCCTGAGAGAGATTTACACCAGAGACCACCATCAGTAACTTCATTTACCTTCACAGCCAGTGCCATTTGCCTTATATCCCGGTGGGCATGCGCAACGGAAAGAGCCAAGCGTGTTAACACACGATGCCACACCAGTGCAACCATCAACCCTCAAGTCACATTCATCCACATCTGTTCAACGACAACATTTATACAAATAAAACCCTGGATTTGTTATGTGAACCACATGCTTGATGGTTAGACAGTTGTCCAAGGTCCTCAGGCTGCGTCTATTGCTCTGTGTCCAGTGGACAGAGCCAGTAGTACCACATTCGCACAGCAATGACACAACCAAGTCCTTTTCTGCCGTTACCCAGAGTCTCGTGTGAAAACACTCAGACAGCAGAATGACTAGCACAGGAGGAATTATGGTATTCGCAATGCTGAATATGCGGCTGGGGGAATGTGTAAGAAGCTATATAACCCAGCTGCTACTAGCCTTTGAAGATGGCTTCAGTAATGGCCGCCATTGGACAGGCTGAATTGATTGATTCGTTCGAAAATTGGATGGCTAAACATTACTAGATAACTTAGATCGGTGTATGAACATAGTGGGTTTGGCTGCGTTCCATTATTGTGAGCAGCAGTGGCCCCTCATTATTGTACCTTGCTGCTTGAACTTTCAGTGTGCATTTTAGTCGAAATCTGTGGACCAATCAAGCATATTGGGTGAATGAGGTCCACCTAGGGATAAAATGATCCAACTTTGAGCGAAATCGGAAATTTGGCCATGTCGGGTGATGTTAGATCGTTACAGGTATTGACTCTTAAGGTGACTCGTACCTAAATCGAAAACTAGTCCTCTGAGCATCCTTCTGCTCAGGTTTGGAGTAGAAATATTATGAAATGTTTTTACTTTTTGCCCCCTCGCGAGTTCAAACCTCCCCGGTAAAACCTTTTTTCTTCTTTTCCGGTAGTGGTTTTGACAAAAATAGCTTCTATAATCGACACAAAAAAGTATGTTCTCGTGGCAACAGAAACATGAAAATTTGCATGCATTTTGTCATCAATGAAAGGAACATCTCTACGAAATGTAAAGGAAATCCACCGTGACAGCAGTTTCAATTTACTTGAAGGCAGCAGTACAGTAAAACCTGTGGTCTTTAGTTAGAGGTTTGCACCGCGTGACCATAATAATGGATCCCATTATGATATGTATCATTATTTCAAAATGCAGCTAACACAATTCCCCAGGGCTTGCGCAATGTCATTCTTATTTCAGGTCAAAAAACCCTTCGAGAGAAAGACGGAGAGATGGATAGAGACAGAGAGAGAGAGAGAGAGAGAGAGAGAGAGAGAGAGAGAGAGAGAGAGAGAGAGATAGAGAGAGAGAGAGAGAGAGAGAGAGAGAGAGAGAGAGAGGGAAGATTATTTTTTTGCAGACTCCAAATTCAGCTGCTACTTCTGAAGCCAGGAGTCCAACGTTCCCTGGGGAAGTTTCGTTTTGCGCTGGGCTTCAAATTTGTTCATGCGACCAATCGTACCGACTGTCCTTGTTGTGACTCCTCGATTGCTTGAACGCGATCCTTCAGCATCAGGACCTTGTGGTGCTGCTTTGTTTCTGGATTCCTTGATGCCATCGTCGATCCGTCTGTATGACTGGGGTGACAGTTTATTCTTGACAGTGCTTGAAATTTTGATAGGTGTAGTGCAGTCCACACCGACTCCACAGTCAAAATTACCTGCATTCATTTGTTCAGCTGTAGTATCGAAAGATTCCTTTCAGGACCATGGAAAATCAGCAAAATTTCAAGAAGGAGCTTCGAGCAACATTTGATTTCCCACATCGCGGTCGCTAGTTACGGGTCAAAAATCGTCTTTGGGACAAGAAAAGGCGGTCGCCGGTCGCATTCAGCAGGTACTCGCTAGTCGCAGTGCATTTTGAATGTGAGACCTTCCGTGCATGGCGAAGTGGTCGGTAGTACCAGGCTGGTCGCTAGTCACGGTGGTCTTTAGTTACAGGTTTTATGTATGTAAATTTACCCCCAAATCGACAAATTGATAGTACTTGACATTTAGTCAGAACAATACAACAGTATAGGCAAAATGCTGGGATGTGTTTTTGTGCAAAATGTTCCAAAATGCCAGAAATTTTAAATCTGGTTTTAACTATGAAGAAGTGTTTCAATCTTTCCCATTTTTGGGACAGACAATATTCTGGTAGTATTAGGCTCTGATCGTTTGGTCGGATCCGGATCCAGATCCAAATCAGATCTGTCGGATCCTTCAGAATCAACCGATCACTTTTTCTCCGACCTTGGCTGTTGCCATGTTGACGAAGTAAAAATCGCTCTGACAGGTCACCCCAAAAGGGCGGAAGTCCTACTGATTGCGCACGTCGTACGAAATGTCAACAAAAGTCGACTAGTCATACGACAATGAGTACAAACATGATTTTTCACGCCATATACGCACAAGATACGGTCATGTCCTATGGAAGGCGGCCCACATCAATTTTGACACACAATGGACACCCCTCGTCACTACTAACAAAACAAACCAATCACGCAGGATCCGAAACCATTTGGACCGGACAGGTGCCTCGTGGTACTCCCCTTACCCTGGGTAGGTGATGGTTCTGCGCGCGTCGTGAAGGAGGTGCGCAGCATTGTCTGTTCATCTTACCCTCCCCCCCCCCCCCCTGTCATTGGACATGTTCAGTCCGTTCGGTTTGCGAATTCAAATAAACACAACCAACCAACCAACCCGTGCGTGAAATTGTATGTCGTACTTGGAACGACGCGTGCGTTCAGTATGAAGGAGGACGTTCTACCTACCCTTAGTAGAAGCAACCTTACCTATTTTTTTCAGTGCCGAGAATGTGAAAATCGGTACGTAGGTAGAACCCTTCAACAACTGGGCGCACACATCCGTCAACATGTGCCGTTAGGTCTTGTCCCTGTTGACGCTCGTGGTACTTGTCCTCGTCGTGGCCGTCCTCCAAAATGTGCTGTGCAGTCCGATGCTGGGACGCCTTTGTCTGCGTCCAGTGTAGATGTACGCATGCGCGCCTCCGCCTCGATGGGCGGGGAGCTTGGCCCGTCTCAGACTAGCGTAAGGAAGCGAGGGAGACCGTCTCGAAAACCACCCAATGTGACACTGGAGCTCACAGAAACCGGAAGAGTTACCAGAAGCAAGGTGAAGAGACGGAGTACTGGGGATTTGAATACGTCGATAATGGAAGTGACAACAACGATCAACAAGAGGAAACGAGGAAGACCATGAAGTGAAACGAAAATGGCCATGAAATCAACGGATGTTGGAGGTGTGGACCGGAGCAACCAAACAAACAAGCCCAATGGAAGAGGACGACTACAGGCGTCGAAGGTGACAGAGCTAAGTGATCGGACATTGTCCATCAAGGGTCATACCTTGGACAGTGCTAGTTGTCGTAAGTTGTATAGTGATGATATGTTTTCGATTTTGACTCGTGGAAGGTCTAAGTTACATCTTGCTTTGTTAGAAGCTCTATATATTTGTAAACTAGATCCTGAACTATGTTTGCAGAAGAAGAATGTGTTATCGTTGCAGTTGTTTGGTGTCACACCTCGTGACAGTGTGACAAGTGTTCCCTGATGTGTTCAACGTGTCTGTCTACAACTTGCAGCTGTTTTTTTTGAGTTTTAATACTTTAATCATTTTATCGCCTATGTTGAAGTGTTGACTTTTTCTTTCTTTCTCTATAAGTTCTGTTTTTTTTTCAAATTTACAACAGTCCCTGTACTATCCTGAAGAGAAGGGAAAGAAAACGTTTGATAGAAAGGAAGTGTATACTGAATTGTGTGGATTTGCATCGTTGCTTGCGAATACTGATAACGAAACTGTTTTTTTTCCACCGCCTCCAAACTACCGTTTGAATTATTATTATTATTATTTAGATAGGCGTCGAGGCGACAATAGTTTTAGAATTGCGATCAACAGAACGAGCTGAACCGACATTTCACAAAGGCTTTTATTGTATTCAAAAAAAGAGTGGATACGAAGGCAGTGAAGAACATGGACGAAAGAAAAAATGTGATGTGGAAGAAATGTTGAACAAAAAATCTTACTTCGAACTAGTTTTCGCACAACACTTCTCAGTAATGAAAAACAATCCAGAAAGATACTAATAAAGAGAAATGGAGTGATAAGAATGACCTATGCATGTATTGTTTTTTTTTTACATCGCAAGTCAAACGGGCAATTATGCCCAATGTTACGATGACGATGGAAAGGGAAAAAAGATTAACCCTTTGCCGGTCTAACTCAATGTATGTCAGGGAAGGTCCGGTAAATATGCACCCACACAACCAGTCAAAACTCGAAAATTATAGGAGATAGGTATGGGTAAACCATATATTTTTGGAAACTACAAGGACATACGCTTCAAATAAGCCCACACATGAGCTGACAATAGCAAAGTACAAAGCAGGGTTGATCACTGAACTATGTGAAAAGTGCGAATGCGCAATTGTCACATAATAAAACGTATAGACAGCCACACAACCAGTCACAACTTGAAAATTATAGGAGATGAGCATGGGTAAACCATATATTTTGGAAACTACAAGGACATACGCTTCTGATAAGCCCACACATGAGCTGGCAATAGCTAAATACAAATCAGAGTAGATCGTTGAAATATACGCAAAAGTGCGAATGTACACTTACCACATAGCAAAATGGTATAGAGTTTACTGTGTTGGGAAAAACTATTCATTGTGTTTATTTTGCCCGTAAAAGAGGCTGATTACTACTGTGGGACGGCATGATGCTCTCCAAAGCAGTTCCTCTATGTTGTGAAACAGAGAGGCAGAGGGTTGCCAAGTCTGTTTGTGCAGGTATTGCAGTGCACGTCTGTCTTCTGCTCCTTGTCATCGCGTTGGTAAAAGCACACTTGGCAGTTATGCTTCTTGCCTAATCGCACAGGTAGATGCAGACGTTGCTGTGGCTTTGCCTGTGGAGCTGGGCCACTGCGGCGTGCCACAGGCACAGGATCACCCTCCTCAATTTCACCCAGCTGACGACACAGGTTGAGCCGAAAGTCACAATGGGAGTACCCAGCTGATCGCTTGAACTCCTCCTTGTCTGGATTCTGCGTCCGGTACTCTTGGAACAGGAGGAATGCATTGATAGTGGCTACATCTATGAAATCAAGGAATAATGTTTTCCAGTATCTCTTTGTTTTTCGCAATACTCGGTACGATGATGCATATTGGTCAAACACATCTACTCCACCCATGTAATCGTTATAATCTCCGATGGACTTGGGACGCTTCACATTCAGTGTTACTGCTTGATTGTTCTCTTTCACACTTCTTTCTTCCATTGTAAAGTCGATAGCACTATGCATTGTTGACACGACTGTTACAGTGCGCTTGTCCTTCCATTGTTGACATAGAATATTGCTGTCTGTTCTCTCATAGCGCATCGACCCTCATGGTGCCCTGCTTTGGAATTGCTTGATGTCGCGTAGCCTAGCTGGGAATCCTCGGCGGTTGGTCTGGCATGTCCCAACAGCAACACATTTATGGTTATCTCGAAGGTCTTGGTACAACTGTGGTGAAGAATAGAAATTATCTGTGTAGAGCTTATAACCTTGGTTGCTATAGGGCTCCATAAGTTCGATAACAATGTTGTGAGCAAGACCATGTTCCGGCTAATTGTCAATTCTACGTCCTGTATATACACGGAAATTCACCAGCATTTTACTGATTGAATCGCAAAGCGAAAACACTTTGAATCCAAATTTGACAGGCTTGTTTTTGATATACTGTTTGAAAGCAAACCTAGCCTTGGATTTCACCATGCGTTCATCAAGCGCTAAATGATTATGTGGCTGCCACAATGTCAGGCATCTGTCCAGAATATGGTCATGCAAAAGCCTAACTTTACGCAATTTGTCAGTTGGATCTTCCCTCCTACAGTTCACTACTTCGAAAAATGCTAGGAGAGATTTGAAGCGGCGAAAACTTGGGATGAATGTACGCGCCCAGGTACCATTGAGCAGAGTTTTGCGGCTCCAATAATGTTCAAGCTGGGGGAGGGACTTGAGGCCCATGTAAATCAGGCACCCAACAAGACGAAAAAATTTCACCACTGGTTGTAGGGTCCCAGGACCCATCCTGAGTAGCGTATGACTGGTGTGACCCAGATGCAATACAATTATCAGCATATACGTTGGTAAAATCGGCAATGTCCGCAAGAAGAGCAGCAGTAAAAAAAGTTGAAAAAACATTTTTCACTGACCGGAAGAAAATCGTGAGGTTGATGCAATCCAGGCTGCCGAGTAGGAGTAAACTCAGGAGCTTCTGGCTGCGGGTCCACCATGCTCCAAGGAGCGTCGTGATCTGCAGGATTACCTCTGCCATGGCCACGACCTCCACCGCCACGACCTGCACCACCACGACCTCCATCACCACCACGACCTGCACCTTGACCACCACGACCTCCACCACGACTTTCACCGCGACCAAGTTGTCTGCGGCCTGCGCCTCTCGCTCCACGATCACTCTGCGCACTCGAACCCGAGTCGAAGTCATCGTCGGAGTCATCGTCAGAATCTAGATCGTAGTCAACGACAGGAGCAACAGCAGCTGCTGTCGAACGAGTGACACAACGCGCCTGATCAGGTGGTGAATCAGCTGATCGCGCGTGCGAGGCAGCACTTGAGTTGCCGTCGGAGCTCTGCTCGCTTTCGACTTCTTTGCCGACTTCTTCTTCTTCCGCATCAGTCTCGCCACGCAGGGCCCAATCTAGGTCACTCTCCTCGCCAGAAGACATGCCTAGATCGCCAGGAGAGTCAGGGTCACTGCTGGTACCTCCACTCTCATCAGAATCGGTCCTGAAAACAGCATCAAGCGCCGCACTTGCACTGAACCTACGAGCCATGGCGGAGGACGTTCTTCTCAAACTTCTCAAACGTCTAGGCGCTCGTTCCAAAAAAATAGTATGTGAACCATAGGCTTCCTGTACATCGATAGAAAGCCGCGAGTGCCAGCTATGCGGAGGACACCATTTTAGATCTCCCCTAGCAACAAAACCATTCAAAATCAGCCCGAGAACGTACCGATACTATAGTATCGGTACGCGTATGGTAGATCGGTAAAGGGTAAAGAACAAGATTAGTTATCCTGGATTATGGGGAGTGAAGAAAACGGTGAGTCTAGGAATCTCTCCTTAGATCATCAACATTGGTCATGAAAATAGACTTTCAATGGATGTGAGAGTTGAGATGTGCTAGGGCAGGCCAACTAGAGGGGAATGCTAGGCTGTGAGATTCCGAAGTACATCTATTCTGTCTATGAAAATGATAATCCTAGCACTAAGGTAATAACAGGAAAAACTGCGAAAGCACTTAACGAACTTGTAAGGACTACTAGTATACTGTGACACAAGATATGACACAATCAGAACATTATTTTTCTTTTCGCTGCTATTAAAGTGCTAACCCAGTATGATTCTAGCCATCATCAGGAATGAGCGAGATTGTAGTTAGGCTAAGTTACCGGATGAAGAACAAGTTGGGCTGAACTGCACGTGTTCAAGTGTTCAAAGTACGAAATTGATCGATACTTTCATCATACACTCACCCAAGCATTTAGGCCAGGAGGTTGTGCCGTCACAGTAATACGTTGATGGAATGTCAGGCGGGAAGGTCAAGCCAGGGCTGCAGGACAAACTCTTCTGCACATTGGTGATGTCAGTGACATTGCCTAGGAAAGTGCGGCTTGGCGGGCATAGTTGTGCTGAAGGAGAAGACACATACACACATACACACATACACATAAACACACACACATACACACACACACACACATACACACACAAATGCACACACACACACACATGCACACACAGAACTATCATCCAGTGTCTCTCCTCCCCATTATCTCCCGTATTCTGGAGACAATGGTTAAGAGACAGCTCGCTGCCTATCTGGAGACACACCAGCTATTGCCCGACAGCCAGTTTGCTTATCGCAAGCAACATTCGACTGAGGATGCACTTGTGTTAGCTGTTAATCGATGGTCCACTGCTAGATGCAAACGAGAGTTCACTGGGACAGTGTTCGTTGATATGTCGAAAGCTTTCGACCGTGTTAAGCATGAACGTCTAGTTACAGTTTTGTTTTCCCTTGGTATAGCTGGAACTGCATTAGAATGGTTCACTGACTATCTCTCAGGGCGTTTCCAGAGTGTCAAATTTCTTGACTCTGTTAGTGAAGCCGTCAGTTGCTCCCGTGGTGTTCCACAAGGTAGCGTCCTTGGGCCACTGCTTTTTGTGCTCTACACTAGTGAACTCCACACCACACTGCCACCGTCTGTACAGCACCAAGAATTTCCAGATGACATTGGCATCGACTGCTCCCATTCTGATCCTGCTGTAGTGTGCAGAACCCTCACGCACGCCATGACAAACCTTGCTACCTGGCTGGAGGACATTGGCCTGCTCCTCAATACTTCCAAGACATAATTGCTCTTCATCCGGCCACGAGGCGCGGCTGCAATACAACCGGAGGTCTCTGCAATGGCGAGAAACTTTGTGTGACCCCTACAGCCCAGTACCTCGGTTTAGTCCTGGATAATGATTTATCCTGGGCTCCACATGTGGAGTATATTGGTCGCAAGACAGCGCGAACAATTGGTCAGCTCTGGAGGCATGGGCGAGGACTGAGTTTGCTTGCCCGGCGAACGTGGTTCTTGAGCATGATCCTTTCCCAGCTGCGTTATGGTTCAAACAGTTTCTTTCCAGGACTTAGCGCACACCTGCTTGGTCAGCTTGAAAAGATGTTCACGGCTGGCATCCGTGCAACCTTGCAACAGCGGCTCTTGACTCCAACTGCCCCGCTGCTCTCTCTGCTCTGCATTGTTAGTCTACCACATACATATACACACAAATTTGTCGTATTTGTTCATCGATGCATTAACTCCTCCTGTAGTCCCCTTATTCAACAATTAATCACCCGAATGGCCCCAGAGACTGTTCCGGAGGATCAGCACACCACACGGGGACAAGTGTCGAACTTGCTTCAAGTTCCCTTTCTTCATGGGCCTGCGGGACGATCGACCATGATGTTTCGGGGAAGCATTCTCTGGAACGCTCTCCCCTCTGATTTTAGAGTGATAGGCGTTCCTGGTCTCTTCCGAAAAGCTCTTTCTGCCATTGATATACTTACCTTGTGAATATCCTCGTCATGGTCAGTCGACAAGTTAGCTCCGCATACACAGTTCTTTGGAAATCCATCAAGCTGCAGACCATACCGAAGCGCCACAGCATCTCTAAAATCTTATTTGTTAAATGTTGTGCCATGGGCGGACCTTGGTTCAACACCACCACTGGAGCGGTGTACGTCAGTATAGTACCGACCGTAGCTGTCCCCTCTGTGATTGTCTTGCCTGGCTCCCACCAGAGAATCCGTGTATGGCACAAGGTTCAGACCCCAACATGCTATAAGTGTGGGTCAAGCCACCACCTGTCCAGGAATTGCACTCAGCAGATGCAACGTGGCAAGAACTCTGCATCTGGTACGCTGTACTCCAGTATGGTAGGGTCAAGCGCACGTCAAGCCAACAACTCTCTGCACCACAGCTCTGAACCCCAGCCACCACCTCCCGTAGATGGCGCCTCGAGTACATCTACGGATGCAGAGTCAGAGATGTCATCTCGACCCAGTGCAACCCCACGCGGATCCAAAGGACAAGCAGAACACTGGCAATAAATCGGAACTTCTGCAGCGGGCTCGCAATGAGACCACCAGTCAGAGCAGAACCCCAATGCAGGATGTTAACAAATTCTGCAGAGGAAAGACAGCTCACCAGTCACCTGACGCTGAGGGCTTCACCCTGGCTTCTGGGAAACACACCTTCCCAGCACAGTCCAGGACTGCACTGCACAGCAATGAAGGACTTTCTTCATCTGAAAGTGATGAACTACCAGTTGGAAATGCAGATTCACAAGAGGATGCAGACAGCAGCCTGGCAAATGTTACAATCGGTGGGATAACCTTCGAGTACCAATTTGATCTTCTTTTACATAATCTATGACAGAGTCAAACCCAACTGCCAGACTCCAACCCACTTCTACAAGAACAGCCATGTCTTCACTTAACCCCCTTGCTGACTCATTTAGTCCGTCAGTGCCACTAGCTTCTCCTACCCACCCAAGTGCACTTCGCGTTCTATTTCTCAACATCAGGAGCCTGCGTAACAAACTCAATGACATCCTACTGTTCAAACAACAACTCATCGCCCCGGATATAGTCTGTGTCAATGAAACCTGGCTCAACGCCACTGTTTCGGACCAAGAAATAGCCCTTAATGGATATAGTGTAACACGCAGAGACTGTAGTGGTCGAGTAGAAGGTGGAGTTTGCATATACTGGAAGTCATGTCTTCTGTTAAACCAAGAGACGACATAACAACTGATGGTGTGGAAAGTTGCTGGTGTGAAGTCGCTTGCAAACCCCGCAGTTGTCTTGTTGGAACGATCTACCACCCTCCATCTGAACCTGTGGGTTACTGGGACAAGCTAGACGAACATCTTTGCGCTGCTCTAAGGCCACAGCCAAATGCTATCGTTTGTGGTGACTTTAATTTGAATATTGACCAAAGTGCCAGGGACCCTCAGTTGCACTACTGATCTGACTTGCTGAACAGCTATGCTCTGCATCACGGTGTAAACAAGTCTACGCGATTTAGTTAAACAGGACAAGACAGCACCCTCGATTTGATACTGAACAATTTTGATCCTTCCACCACAGCGAAGATCATCCCGGTCGCTTTCAGTGACCATACCGCCGTGGCCAGTGACTTTCACCTCATTGTGCCTCGTGGATCTGACACCACACGTTTATACCGCAACTATCACCGGATAAACCACGATCACTTCCGGCGTGACTTAACCCAGAAGAACTTGTGTAGTATTACCGGCAACACTGTTACACTCACTGATCCTTATGCACAGATATACAGCATTCCCTCACTAGTGAGACCATTGTTAATAGGCTAGGGCCTGTTTTGGACTTCCCACTCTAAATACAGAATACAAACAAGCAAACAAACACAACCCAAGCGCCATGTCGACCTAGTGGTCTAGCCGGTTCATTGAGGTGTTGGATGTCCATGCCCCACTTCAAAGTAATCACAGAACGAAGAAGCCGTCAGTGCCGTGGATTGATCGGCAATTGTTCTACTTACTACACAAGCGGAATAGGTTGCACCGAAAGTGCCTCTCTGCTAAGAAACAGGAGACTTACGATGAATTTAGTACAGCCAGACGTGCGGCAACTAGCTACAACAGGACCCGGAAACAGGAATTCTTTAACTCCAAATTTCAGCAATGTACTGGAAATGCCAGAGAGACTTGGAAAATAATGAAGGAGTTGACAGGCAAACAGTCGACATACAGGGATCTACAGCGCACGGGGGATGCGATTCGAGACACTTTTTTTTACAAAGTTGTGCAAGATCCAGTTCGCCCCACACAGCTACCCCTTGGGCCTCCACCTGCGGTGCACTTCTTGGAATTCTCGCCAGTCTCCATTGCAACTACCCGGAAAATGTTGGTACAGTTGGACACCAGAAAAGCCACTGGGAGTGATGATATTCCAGCAAGTCCCCTCCAGATGCATGCTGACATCCTGGCGCCGTCACTCACGCTACTATTTAATAAGTCATTGAGAGAAGGAGAGTTTCCTGTGGCAATGAAGGTGGGTAAGATACGGCCTCTGTTCAAGCCTGGTGACCCCAGCCAACCCAAGAACTACCGACCAGTCTCCCTATTGCCGATAGTGTCGAAAGTGCTTGAACGTATTGTTCATAAACAACTTTTGCAGTACCTTAACACGAACAATTTCTTGCCTACTAGTCAGTTTGGTTACAGACACCAGCATTCCACAGCAGATGCCTTAGCGCTAGCTGTAGAGAACATCAACGAAGCACAAGCCGCCGGGCAGCACACAGGAGTAGCATTAATTTTGTCGACATGTCGAAAGCCTTCGACAAGGTAAAGCATAGCATTATGGTTGAGGACCTCTTCGAACTGGGTCTCACTAGCACTGCTTTGCAATGGTTTTCAGAGTACTTGATGTATCGCCGGCAATACGTGGAGACAGGAAAAACCAGAAGTACAACGTATGACAGCCAGTCAGGGGTTCCTCAACGGTCAGTTCTCGGATCTCTGCTCTTCGCTCTGTATGCAAGGGATATAGTCCGCGACCTTGCCCCTCATGACGTCACCACTATTCAGTTTGCTGATGACATCTCAGTGCGTGCGAGCAGTCCACAGCCAGAAGTTGTCTCCCAGCGCATCACTGCAGCAGTTCAGTACCTGGCCACTTGGTTGAAGAAACGTGGACTGATCCTTAACGAGACCAAGACGCAGATACTCGCCATACTACACCATAGAGCTACAGCCCTTGACATAAATGTTGTATGCAATTCACAAGTCCTTCCATTAGTCACATCTGCCAAATACCTTGGCCTGCATTTTGTCTCGGACACGAGTTGGACCACAATGGTGGACCATGTTTCTCGTCGTGTTGCCAGCAAAATTGCTGTCCTGCTGTGACATGCTTCCTCGCTGTCATATCCATGCCGACTCACCTACTACTGAATTTTTGTACGCTTCTATTAGTTACTACCCGTATTTGACAGTTGCTCAGGAACAACGGCTACATAGGCTGTTCAAACGTGCCGCTCGGGCAGTCTGCAAGGCGCCTACATGGACCAGTACTGCTTCCCTTCTAAATCGAATGCATGTATGTGATCTACAGGTTTCTGTGCACTTGAATATGTTTTGTTTCATCTGGCGATGTTTGCATGATGCATGTAGCACCCTATTTCAGTCCTTTTTTCCTGTCGTGCCCTCAATTCGTACTCGAGGAGGCCTAAGCAACTTACTTGTGGTCCCACCTGCTAACACTGCTCATTCTGCTAAGCGCCTAACGCACGCTGGAGCCATTATGCGGAATAGATTGCCACCAGCAGCAACATGTTCTAATAGGTATTTGGTTTTCAAATCTTAAGCCTTGCAGTATATTATCAGCGACATAGGTTTTCCAATGCTCACTGGATTGACATCTGTTCGTTGCATCCAACCCTCCCTTTTCTTTCCTTTCTCTTTTTCTCTTATATCTACTTTTCCACAATATCCTTCAACATTTTATTCACAGTAGGTCCAATGTTATTAGGCATTTTGCCTGTTTTGATTTCCACTATAAATAAAATATACAACAACAACAACAACGACAACGTGACGGCATTTCCATGGAATCTGATGGCGGCCGAGGCGGAAGCCATGATGTGGTGAAAGACTCATCAGCGGTTTCATTGTTGACTGTGTGACGCGGCGGACGCAGTGGGAGCCAAATCTCTGACGCATCACCCCCATGTAGCGGAAAAAAACATCACTGCGCTCCCGGTCGGCAGAGACAATATCCACCGACCCAGAATTCGGCAGCATAGCCTTCACGTTGTTGATGTTAGTTACTGAGTTCCGCTCCATTGCCTCTCCGGACGATTCCTTATCCGCCAATTCGACCCCGGCCAACTCCACAGATGCATCTGGCCGGCCCGCAGCGGTTGGCGTGCTATTTGCGTGCTATCGGCAGCAAGCTGTGACACAGCTGCCTCAATTATTGGGCGCACCACTGAGGTACACTGCGAATACTCAGCCTCACATAATGGTGCAACTGGGGGGATGCCTAGCCCAACATGGCGGCATGGAAGTCCCATAAGCTGACTAAGGGGATCGTCACTGCTTAGAGACACACCAGCAATTGCAGCAGCAGGGAATTATTAACTGCATCATCCAATCTATTAAAATATTAATAATTCGGGAGAGCAATTTATGGCCCGAAGGCAATAACGCCAGCGCAAAATAATGCTGTGCACAAGCACAGTATACGCAGCATGTGGTTGAGTAGTGGCGAGTTCGGAAAGGTGCTCGACTTGGCAAACCCACTTATCAACCTTAACCGATACAAATGTGTGCAGGAATCTCTCAGACCCAAGGGCGCCGCCAAGATAAATGCAACCATCTGTAACAATTCTCACCCCAGTCCCAGGGAATATTTCCTGCGCTGCATGCTCGAGAGATGGCTGCACCAGAAGAACTGTTTTTTTCGGATTGGTGTGGTACCCATAGTCGGGTCCCGGCTGCAATACCTTAGACCAGTAGAGGGATGTGGCTTGAAGGGTGCCAGCAGCGGAATCATCATCAGCGTACCACAGCTTGGTGGTGCTTGTTTGTTTGTGAGAGGCATAACAGCAACAGCGTAAATGGCCATCGCAAGGGGGTCACCCTGGCAGGTCCCCTTACGGGAAAGAATTTCGCCCCCATCCGCTACGAAGGGCCGGCATGGCGTGCCGTACGTGTTCTTGAAAACCTGACCTAAAGCAGGACAGAGAGCGGGAACATTGTTGTTTTTTTGTTGTTGTTTTTTACTATGTGCACATAACCAGCTCGAAAAGAATAAGGAAAGACACTGGTACGGAGACTAGGACCAACTGACAAGTAATGAGCAGGCGCTGTGCCAAGACGCAGCAGTGATGGTGGGGCATTGATGACTCTGCCGACCTGAGGTCTCGGCGTCATGGCCAAAAACACGCACCAAAACAAAGAAAAAAAAGAAGATAGAGCTGTACAGGTCAGAAAGATGCAAAAAACCCAAGGCTTAACACGAGTGAGTGTGGGGAGAAACTATCATAGCATCATACTATTCATAGGGAATGGACTGCCCAGAGCCAGTTTGCGCTGCGAAGATGGCGATAAACGTTCGTTTTGAATGATTGCATTATCTTGCTGTGGGGAGGCTGGGACAGGAGAGCGGCAGGGAGGGAGTTCCAATCGCTGATGCTGCAGTGTGTGAATGAGCGCTTCAGCACCAGCGGGGCAGATGCAGGCAGCTGGTGTTGAAGCTGGTGGTCATGGCCACTGACACTAAAGTGCTCGTTGCGGGTTCTGGGGTTGATGGTTTTGATGACGTCACGTGTGATCTGCTCCAATTTTCTGGCCCTCACCAGGCTGCGCTTCTACAAGTGGCACCTCAGGGGGTCCTTCAAGTTCCTTAGAGTATGGTCGCAGTTGTGAAGCTTGGGAATGTTGACCAAACATCGTTCTTCATCACCAGAATATTCAAACAACTAAGATCTTCAAATGCAGAGAATTTGAATACTAATCACACGTGACGTCATCAAAACCATTAAAAAAGAGGAGACAAACTTGGCCCTCCTTGGCTTCATACATGTATATCGACTTTTTGGGTCTAGTTTTCGCGATTTCCTATTTCTTGGGGGCCATATAAGACCCCCATAAAGAGAACACAGAACCAAAAAAATTCCCGGAGTGCCCCTTTAATACTGCGTAAATGATCACCGGTGCACTGCAGGCAGTCATCTTGGGTATATGTCATTTCCAGTACATTCCTCGTTTCACAAACAATATGAGCCACCTGCCAAATTCAATATTTAAAAAAAGACGAAGTTTGGACTGAAGACGTGGCCAGGGCATGTGTGGAAAGAATGTACCTGTGCAGAAAAATCCATCTCCAGTAAATCCAGGCTTGCAAACACATGAGAATGTCCCATTCTCAATTGTGCAGTAAGCATCAATGCTGCATGTAGCATTAAGTTCGCATTCATCCAACTCTGGACAGGGGTAAACACCAAGGCATAAACAACAATGTCTTATTGTGGCCAAAGAGAGAAAGAGCGAGAGAGAGAGAGAGAGAGCGAGAGAGAGAGAGAGAGAGAGAGAGAGAGAGAGAGAGAGAGAGAGAGAGAGAGAGAGAGAGAGAGAGAGAGATAGAAAGAGCGAGAGAGTGAGAGCGAGAGAGAGAGAGAGATAGAGCGAGAGAGTGAGAGCGAGAGAGAGAGAGAAAGAGAGAGAGAGAGATAGAGCGAGAGAGAGAGAGAACGAGTGTGAGAGAGAGAGAGAACGAGAGAGCGAGAGAGAGAGAGAGAGAGAGAGAGAGAGAGAGAGAGAGAGAGAGAGAGAGAGAGAGAGAGAGAGAGAGAGAGAGAGAGAGAGAGAGAGAGAGAGGGAGAGAGAGGTAGCAAGAGAGAAAGAGAAAGAGAGAGGGAGAGAGAGCGAGAGAGAAAGAGAGAGCGAGAGTGAGCGAGAGAGGGAGAGAGAGAGAGAGAGAGAGAGAGAGAGAGAGAGAGAGAGAGAGAGAGAGAGAGAGAGAGAGAGAGAGAGAGAGAGAGAAAGAGAGAGCGAGAGAGAGAGAGAGATAGGTAGAGAGATAGGGAGAGAGAGAAAGAGAGAGAGAAAAAGAGCGAGAGAGAGAAAGATAGGTGGAGAGAGATAGAGATAGATAGAGATAGTGAGAGATAGAGAGATGAAGAGAGATAGAGAGAGAGAGATAGAAAGAGAGATAGAGAGAGAGATAGATAGATAGATAGATAGAGAGAGCAGGGCGTACGCAGCTCGCCTCCAGGAGTAGTTCCCATGCCAACTGATCAACTAAAAATCCACACAAAGTCTTAAATAAGTGGTGCTATACGTGTCCCTCTGCATATTCTCCTAAGACAGGGTGGAATTACCATCCACAAGCTGCTGGGCGATTTTGATTAAAATGACTGGACTTTTCCAAGTCGTTTTTATATATTATTATGGAGTTCTGTTCAGCGTGATGATTGCATGCAGTCTTGAACCGGGTTAAATTCTCAAAAGGACTGCGGTAAAGCTGCCCAAGCTTCGAATCGTCTGAAAGCAAACATCACACAGGGCAAGCAGAAGCAAACACTACACACCGGTGAAAAACTCCTCCAACTAGGATCGTTGAAAGCGCCGCTGTTTTTCATCCGTCTGTCAGGGCATGCACATAAAGTGCAATAAAGGTTTGTCTGTGCCCTAAACAACGGTGTTACCACAATGCTTAGCAGTATATTCAGCTCCGGGGGTGTTTCACCAATAGTGTTACATATAAGCCCATGCGGTGGGTCAAAGTCCATGATTGAGATACGAGAGGCACCTGGTTCAAATCCTGCCTGGGAGCGTTTTTTTCCAGTCGTGCTGCTACCCACAGTCAACTGGGAACTTGTGGTCAGTCACAAGGGGTACGTGGATGCAGCTAATGGGGTTTCTCGGCACTTTTGCCAGTGGTCGTGAGACGTATCTCCTAATCCGCCTCTAGGGTTTACCGGGTATTAGCGGCTGTCGTGAGTTCCCTTCGGGAACGGACACGATAATTTACTTTTTTTACGGGCCTGTATTAAACTGAAAACTGTCTATGAAAGTAGGTTGGCCCCAACAGTGGAGCTCGCTCTATCCGCTAACTTGATTGCATTTTAAAGTTCTTTCAAGACGAAATATACATTCTACAGATTCACATAATATGTGGCCTGAGAGAGATTTACACCAGAGACCGCCGTCGTCAGTACACTTCATTTACCTCGACAGCCGGTGCCATTGCTCTTAAGCCCCGGTGGGCATTCACAGCGGAAATAACCAAGCGTGTTAACGCATGTTGCCAGACCAGTGCAACCATCAGTCCTCAAGCTACATTCATCAACATCTGTTCAAATACAAATGTGAACACAACCTTGGATTTGTGACATAAAGCACATGCTTGAGGGTTACATGAAACTTGGGGTTGTAACAAGCCGGCCTTGCTCCAGAGTTCTGCAGACTTTCATCGGGGGAATTCTCATATCCATACTTGTTTTGTGTTTATCTACACTTGACTACTGGCATGGCGGTGTTCTCAGTAAAAAACGCTGAGATTTTGCCAGAGGAATGCATACGCACAGACAGACAGACACCCACACGCACTTGTAAAATCAACGTGTTTGTGAGCGACCGTTGTCTGCATAAAACTCAAAAAGCTGTATGCGAGAATTCACACATTAGCCATATTGCCATGGACAGATTGGCATGGACCGATTGGCATGGACTGATTGGCATGGACCGATTGGCATGGACCAATTGGCATGACTGATGGCACAAAGCAAAGACTGATCCATCTCAAACTGTTCCACTATATACGTAGACGGGTGGATAAACCGCGTTTTTGCCTACACAGTATAAAACCCCTTAGAATAAAGAGGGCCGACACCGGGTCCAGGACTCATATAGTTCAGATGGTCTCAATAGACCGAGGCTCTACCAACCGTGAGGAAGGTTGTAGAAAGGTCACTGTTTCCGAACACGGTGTCCTCCACCTTGTTTCATGCTGCTGTAAAACTATGAACGCTAAGTATAATTGCAGGCAAATATCCCCTATCCCTGGTTTCGCTGCCTATGACTCCGACATAGGCTAAAGAGGCAGCGCCGTCGTGCCACTTTACGGTACATCTCTAAATGGATTGAATCGATGTGAAATATGACCACAAGGATGTCCCCAATGTAGTCAAGGAATACTTAACCCCAACTGTGACAATTTCAATGATCTACGAACACATGTGCGTATTGAATAGCATGTCAACAGACCAGGATGGCATATTGTGTCAGGGCGGGATGTTGTGTCAGGAGAGGACGTTGGGACCGAAGGGAGTTGTGTCAGGGTAAGATGTTTGGTCAGTTTAGTAGATTGAAACATTGCAGCACAGCCTCAAGATGATCATTAACCTGATATAAGATAACATCACGAGCGCTGGGAAATACCTTGACAGTCAGTGCCATTCCAGGTCTTAAACCCTGGACGGCACTCGCATACATAGGACCCATAGTTATTAGCACATGTTGCTGACTGGCTACTGCAGTTGTGGGTCTTCAGATTACATTCATCAATATCTGTTCGGGTTAAAAAAAAGAATTCTTAGCACAGTGGTGTTTGGAAACTGTGACTACTTGGCACTCTGAGTATGGTTTCTCAAATCAATCGCCCTCCCAACTCCAAAGTTGAAGGCACAACATCCGCCTTCATACCAATACCAGCGGGAGTGCCCCAGGGCTCGGTCCTGGGACCACTTCTGTTCCTGGCGTACACCATTGACCTGCCCACTGCCTGTAAAAATGCTACAACCTCGTGTAGCCAGTTCGCGGACGACACCGCTCTAATTGCCATTGCAGACAGCTACATTGAGTGTGAGGCTGCGCTACAAAGAAGCATCGATGCCGCAGCAGAATGGCTAGAGCGCTGGCACCTGCTAGTCAAAAAAAACAAAAATCCCCCCCCCCCCCACTCTTTGAAAATTTGTTCGATTCCCTAAGCACCCATCATCAGGATTTTGCGGGACACTACACAAGACAAGGTGGAATGAATTATGCCATGCAAGATAACGGTCAAAATCATTAAACGATGCACTTCTCAATCACTTACCCCAGCATGATGGCCAAACGCCTTCACCGTCACAGTACTGCAGTGTTGGTGTGCCAGGCTTGAATTCCAGGCCTGGGTTGCAGGACAATCTCTTCAACAAAGGGGTTATGTCGGTGACGGTGCCTCCGCTAACACTTTGGGATGGGCATGCTTGTACTGAAGGAGAAGAAACAAAGAGAGTTTTCAACGATGTGTGAAGGCAGGAAAGGAGTGAATGACCGACCTGCAACTCTGGACTGTGGTCGAACTCATATTTTACTTAGGTCACTCAATGCACGATTAAGCCGTACTTGAAATCACAACACAAGTGTGGTGATGAATAGAGAGTACAATACTTAGACAGCAGCGACACGTCCAAGACCTTCTCTGCTGTTAATCATAGTTTAGTGCTCAAAACACCCATGAGACACCTGATTAGAGAGTACATTTTTTTACTGGAAAATGTCTCCATTCAGCTTGTGGTAGAACCGAGATATGTGGCTAGGCAGTGAGCCATCTTGGGGACAGGGGGTTGACGGGCGCATGCAAAATGAAATTATCGATCAAGTACAGAGTTCGGCTGAAGAGCGCGTGGTTGTGATGAGTTGGGAATGCAATGAATGGAAAATATAGCCGAAAGCTCTGTCGCAATATTAAAGGGGAAGTTAAGGCAAAAAATAAAATTTCACCAGTTGTAGTCTTCGGGGTGCTGAGTCGAATGGTCGTGGTCCGAGGAAGCTGAGACGCTCCCTTCCTACTTGAATCCCAATCGAACTCGCGCACTTCCACCGAAACTGGGTGACTGCGCCCTACGAGATGGGGATTTGTATGCAAAATGTCACTAAAAGCGCCATTTCGTTCTTATAAAAGCACGGATGACCGCGATTGGCCCATATGTTGTAGTCTTTTGGACGCTGAGTCGACTGGTTTTGGTCCGAAAAGGCTGCGATGCAGCGTTCCTCCTTTATTCCCAATCAAACATGGTTGAACAAGTGGTCACGTGCTCCTGGGTGCCCAAATCACCTGGTCACCACGCCAGCAGGTGACAACTTTCACACCAAGGTTCAACTCGAGTTCAACTCGAGTGACAGGACTGCACCCAAAAAAGGTCAAACAAGCTAGTAAGTTGTACCCCGCAACTAAAAAAGAAACTAGAAATATATAATTTTAGGGGGGTTACCGTGCATTTTAGACCTCCAAAAATAAAAATAGGACCGAAAATTGGCCGATTTTCCACCATTCTTGGAATTGCTATTTTTCAGGTAAGGTGATCATTCTATGCATTCCTTGTGGTATTACTCCAATTTTTTTGTGTCAAAAGCATTGAATGGTCCCCCAGATTGTATAACTTATAGTATACATGGAGACTAGATGAGGCCATGGTTCCTGGGCTTTTTAGCCCTTGATCTGGATATCGGCATGATCCATGCACAACGTTATTCATGATCCAGGCCGAGGCCTACTGACCCTGAGCACAGTTCAGACCAGCTTTGCATCACAACTCTTGCAATAGTTCACTCCTAGTATTTCTCATAAAGCAACAGTCAAAGAGCTTGAGGAGGATAACAATTATTATTATATTCTGGGGGGGGGGGGGGGGGGCAGTTTCATGTTTGTAGTACATGTACAATGTAGATGCAGGTTCAACTCAATATTTGCAATGAACGACTGCTAGTAATCAGTGTAGCATCCATTAGGTATAATCATACACTATTCCCAAAAACATGGAACAACCACAAGTGTATGCGGGTGCATGCGCATTGCACACACTGATACATACATGTACGCTTACATGCACATGCTCACAAACAAGTACCCCTTGCACACACAAATACACATACGTCATATACGCGCACCCGCAATAGCATACACCCACATGCAAAATGCATGCTCTTGAGCTTAGTTACCATATTCTGCTGTCCGTGCACTTGTGCACGCGTGCGCGCGCACACACAACATGCACTGCGCACACGCGCACACACAAACAACATTTAGGCTCACACGCGTGCCTGCGTATGTGCATGCACATAGTGCTTATGGGTAGAGGTGCATGCATTCATCATAATAGAACTGGTGCGAGTAGTGTAGGAATATTTTCAAATCACTGGTGCTGTACAACACAACATTTACAAAATACTTCACACTCTGACAATAGAGAATAGTACTGCAAAACAACTCAATTTTCAGTGCTGTATTTTATTCAAGTGGACGCAGGTGATGACTTACTGCTGGCGACGTTGGCAGCTGACAGGTCACAGCTTTCGTAAATAGCCCAAGTCACTGAGCAGTAGCTCACCAACGATTTACCACTCGCTCAAGACTGCAATGTTTTCAGCGTAGGAATATATTTCGCCACTTGAGAATTAGAAGTGGATCCACTTACCAGAGTCTGTGCACCCACTTCAGTCTCTCTCTCTCCAAAACGCGTTTACGGTAGGTTTTGGTCCCTTGTGTTACACAGCCATCGAGACGCTTGGCTCCGTTCTCCTTGTTCATTTTTTCGTCAAGCAAAATTATTCAGGATCTCGAGAAATCGAGCTGTAAAGTCAACTTCTTGCTCACACCAGCGATGCTTTTGAAAACATGCCCTGATACCCACTGACACAACGGAGGAAAAACAACAGGAACCTCGATGGGGCCCAGGGAAGACTACAGGTGAAGAATGAAAAAATATTCTCTGATAAGACTGTCGATCGCGGAGTTCAAATTTTAGTAAGTTGAGATGGGAATTTCCCAACTTTTCGCACTTATCGGCAAAAACAAGACTTTTGCCTGCAAAAAACAGAGCGCCAGACCGGCTGCGCAGCGCAGAAGGTTGGAGCCTCCTTAAACCAAATACAAAATAAATTGAATACCAACATCATGTGAGCCAGAAGACGCTAAAATATGACCACAGACCAAAATTTCGATTTAAGTTTTTGTTCAAAAATGATCAAACACACCTAATGTTCACTGTGTGAAAGTTTTGGATTGATCTGACATGTCTACGTGTTGCTACAATGGTATTCTATGCAGCACTGTGGAAATGGTGAAATTCTATGTACAGCAGTGGGATTGTCATTTTTGCATACAGTTGATAATTATGTCCCTCAGTTCATCCTTTCCGGGTCAGTTCCTCTGCCCAGGGTCTTATAGCATGAGCTGACAGGTACTCTGCCACATCCAAAATTTATATAGGCAGCCGAGCTGGGTGTCCGAAATACCTCCTGGTTGGAGCACCACTGGAGAACCGCCAGCGAAAACACCGTCAACATCTGTAGACGTCCGAAGACGTTGGCACTCCGCATCCTCTCCATCACACTCCACCTGTACTTTCAGATATGCAGTATACACTGCTGCGCAGAGTCTTCCTCAACAGACTCGGCGTCGCACTAATATTCTCGACACCAAAGCCCATCTGCCCACGGTCTTCTCCGCTCGCCAGAGAGTACTGCTTTCGCTGCCCACTGCTCGTGCTTGCGATGTTCCGCATAAGGGTACTAGTACTCCAATTATCCCTTGAAGGAGCAGCAGAGTCCATTGATTGGTTTTGCACTTGCAACCAACACTGGCATTGTCCCGGATATGTGCAGCGATGTCCACTCTGGCCAAATCATCGGCCGACTCACCTCCCAAGTCAGTGTCGATGCCAAAAGCTTGCCAGGTTGTCATTGTATTCTTTTGTATTGCTTTTATTTAACATTGCAAGTCAAACGGGCAATCATGCATCAATTCTTTTAACACTCGATGAAAGTGTCGCCCTCAAATGAGGCATTGCTGTAGCCGTCATCGTATTCCTTCTGTTTCCGTTTTAAATCCTCAAAATATTTTGCCTGCGCATGGAGTGCAAGGATGTACAATGTAGTCTTCTTCCGCTCGGCAGTACATTAGGCTTTTCCTTCGATACATCGATGACGATCAGTTTTAGGCGACTCAGCGCAACATGGCGTACAAACTCAAACAAATAAACTTACTTGCAACAAAGAAATGCATCTGGAAGAGTCCAGTCAACCTAGGAGAGCACCAACAGCGACTCGCGTTGCGCTGCACTTCGTATTTTTTTGCTGCGGAATTCAAACCCGATTTTTCGACTTTATAAAAGCTGTGGTCGTGTTTTAGCACACTCTGGCTCATGTCATGATTGGACCGCCGGCAGGGGGGGGCTGCATATGGCATTACACTACTTTATCAAAAACCGGACATGTTATTCATATTCATTAGGTTGATAGAATCGGATAATGAAGAAACAACGACACTGAAGGAGACGAAGCAAAAGCGAGCTGTCAATGCTGTCTGAAGTCAGAAGGGAGACCTGCGGCTCTGGCTGGCTAAGGCTTGCTGATTAGTTAGTTGGCACGGCCTAGATCATGAATGCTACTGGCAAGTGTACAATATTCACAATACAATCGCCATGACGACCAGATCGGTATGTTCGGTTGTGCTGAGTATCCTATCAGATGAAGTGCTAGTATCAAATTATAGATAAGAAAAAAAGGCTCGCACAGATATCTGAGCTGTTGTTCTCTCGGTTCACATAAACGCTGACCGAAATTCAAGTCTGCTCTGATGTCAAGAGTTCAAATCGTGAAATTCTTCATTGACTATATGCCTAGTTGCTGCCCATGTGGTACGTGCGAATGAATGAAGATCTGAATGAAGATCGCCGCGTTGGCAGCATGTGTAGCTTCCAATCTGGTCAGGCCGGTCAGGCTGTGGCCGGACCAACTTTTTGGCGACCTACGTGTACACTGATGGGGAGGTCATGTGTACACCACAGTATACCCTCCATATCATACACACTGTATGAAAAGCTATGTGCATACCCTCCATATCATACACAAACTGTATGAAAAGGCTAGGCTATGGCGGGACCAATCAAAGACTGCTTCGGCCTGTACAGGTTAAACCTGTGCATTCTTCGATCCCAGGCCTGGAATTAA